ATGGAAAATGTCAAATACGTACAAAATAGAGAGAACAGCGTAACCTCCTGGTTCCATCGCCCGGCCCTGGCAGTGATAATACCAACGCCGGGCTGATCTCATTTCATCTTCACTTTCTCCACGTTCTGCCTCCTCTCAGATCAGTTTGAAGTACCTCTCAGACATCATGTCATTTCGGCCATAAATATTTTAGCATGTATCTCTGAGAAATCATTCCTTTTTAAAGCATAACCACCCTGTCATTACCACACCTAAAAATAGAACCCCAAGCATCGTTAAAAGGCAGAACGCTTGTTTAAACCGCTCAAGGACCCCTTAGAATCATCTCGCCAACCACTACCTGCCGACACTTTAGGAAAGAGTGTTCTAGAAATAAGAAGAGGGGAAGGTGGGAAAAGAATTCGGCACCATCCCCTCTCCTCCCCTTTCATTGTGTGTGTCTTTCCTCTGTCCCCCAGCAAGATGCCTTGCAGATGTTCGCTTAATTGCAGTAAGAATTTGGTATCCTGTTTTCCCCGCTTGGCACTACACCATTAGCCCCTTTCCCTGTGCCGCTCGCAGCTCCCGCGACGGTGATGATCCTTTGTAATGCCGCCGGTGTTCCGCTGAGTAGGATTTCCAGCGTTTGCTTAATCCACCCTTTGCCGTCACTGTCGTCAGTAATGCGCCATTGTAAATAACGTCCTGATGGATATCGTTTTGCAGAAGGCCTTTTTTCCCTTTGTCTTTTCTGATTATTTCCTGGGGATAGAGTCCCAGAAGAGCACCTCGTCACTCTTCTTCTTCTTCCTTCTTCTCCTCCCACCGTCTGCGTGTGACAACACACCAACATTTTTTTTGAGCATCAGTCTGACTTCACTGAGCCTTCCCCTCGTGTGTCTCTTTGCCCCGCTCTTTCCTCTTCGCAGCAAGGGAACAAGGAGAAGAAAGGAATTATTTTGTGCAGAAAACTCTGGAAACACAGGCAGGTTTCCCGTCCGGTGCCTTATTCGTAGCCGGCCGGGCTTTTCTGCAGGGCGAGGACGATGTTTCCTGACGCCCTCACAGCCCCCGGCTCCTCTCGCCTCGCGGGTTCTGGTTTCGTGCAAAGGGAGGCCAACGGGAGGCACGAACGCGGGGCCCGCGGTTCAGCCTCAGCTCCACTTCCTCGCTGTTGGCCTCGGGCAAGTCGCTCTCCTCTCTGCGCCTCGGTTTCCTCACCTGTCAGATGAGAGGAAGAAGAATCTTTCTTTCACGAGGTGTCGTGAAATGTGGAGGAGGTCGTCCTCAAAAACCACCTTACGAGTGCCGTGGTGGTACCATCCCTGTTTTGACAGGGTTTTACATACCGAGTGCTCGATCAGCGTTGAGGTCATTGCCAGCATCTCAGTTGCCGTTAGTGCTAAGCTGCTAAAAAGCGGTCAGCGGTGAACCTGCTGTGTGAGATGGTGACGGGTGACATGAGCCACTCGTTCTCACTGTGCCTTTCTTCACTCCCCGCCCCTGTCACCGCATAGCGGACCTGTTCCCAGTCATTAAAGGCCATCCGAGGGCCACCTCCTTTGTGACACTTTGCGAGAACTTCCCTGATAGCCCCACGCCCACGCTCTCCCAAGCCGAACATAGCGCAGGGGCTTCACGTCCAACACGCCTGTGCACACGGCTGCGGTGCCTTGGATCAGGGTCACTGGCGAGCGTCTTGCCCCTCCGCTAGTCTGGGGGGCAGAATCTACTCCTCGCAACCACGGTACGTGTCCCCTAGATGCAGTGCAGTGCCTAATGCTCGAAGGGCAAATGTCGTTCGAGAATCATTTTAATCACAGCCTTCCTAGCATGTATAAGGCAAATGATCTTATAGGAAATCCCAGGAGAAACTCCCGATTCATTTAGGGTTGTTGAAATGTTCTCCTAGTGCTTATTTTGGGATGAAGTGAGCCATCCAGTTGCCTCAAGCCTGGAATCCTCTGGCTTCTACCTCATTTTTTGTTGTAATGGAAGCATCGTGCCTTGCTGTGGGCAAAGCTGATGTATTTATGAGTAGAAGCTTGCAAATAAATCAGGACAAAGGACTCTTACCCCAAAAGGCAAGAGAATGAATTCCTACCCCCTGGAGCATCTGGGGAAACAGCGTGTGAAAACTTGGAATCTTTTTTTGTCTAGGTATTTTATGCAAATTGTGCCTTTCCAGTCTATAGGATAACTTTTCATAAAAGTAATGTTTATTGATTTCTTTTTCTCATTAGAAAGTTATACATGTGCATTGCAGCAATTTTTGAAATGGCAGATTAACAGAACGAGGAAATGAAATTTGCTTATAATTCACCATCCAGAGACAAGAATGTCAGTACTTCGTTACAGGCCCCCAAATTCAAATGCCCTCTAGGACCAGGCAAGTGACAAGAGTCAGCCAGGTGGTCCCTGCAGGGCGGGCTGACCAGGGCCACCTAGAGGTCTGTGGTGCTGAACTCTGGCACATTCTGGAGCACAACTTGGAGTTGCGGACCAAATCTCCCGATGTTTTCAGCGCTCACCTTATTTAAATACGAAAGAAAAACACCTTTGGGCCAAACGAGTGCATCTGTGGCATCCTTTAGATTATTATATTGCTTCTTGATTATTTCTCTTTTCTTAGGGCAGTAACGGTTTTCACTACTTCAATACCAAATACCGTTAAGATGAGGCATTAGAGGACTTTGTGTTCAGTTCTAGGTTACTTGTGTCTGAGATGTAGCTTCGAAGCGCGGGGTTCAAGAGAAAGACCTTCTAGAATTTTCACTCATTCAATAAGTGTTAATTGAACATCTACTGTATGCGTGTCAGGCTCTGTGTTAGGCACCGGGCATTCAGCCGTGACCCAGGCGGACCAGGCTTCTGAGCTCAGTGCCCTCCCATTCCCATGTGAAAGCAGACAGCACCCAAGCACAAGTAAACCAGAACAAAAGATCAGTAAGGGTATATGTCTTACCCAAAATGAAGATGCAGTCATGTAACAGTGACGGGACAGTAACTTAAGATTTGGCAGTCAAGGAAGATCTGTCTGAAGTGGTGACACTTAAGCAAAATGGTAAGACAGAGCTAGACATGCAGTCATCAGAGGAGAAGAGCATTCCCAGCAGAGAGAATATCCTGTGCAAAGGCCCTGAGGCAGAAATAGGCTTAGCATGCTCAAGAATCCAAAATAAGGTCACTCGTGGCTAGAAAGTGGGGGATTTGGGCAGATGAAAACACAGTGAGGCTAGAAGAAAGAGGCAGGGCTTTGTAGACCAAGTAAGGAGTTTGGGTTTTAGTGCAAACGTTAAGCAAACCACTATGGCATCTAAGCAGGGGATGATGAATGTGGCTACTATGGGAATAGGTTAGAGCGGACAAAATAAGAGGGGGGTCAATTATGGAGGCTCCTGCAAAGGTCCAGGTGAGGAATGATGGGGGCTTGGAGCAGGATTCCGACCGTGCATAAGGAGAACAGAGGATGGATTCAGATGGAGACAACAGGATGTCTTGACAGGAGGTGAGGGGAGGCAAGCGATTGGAGATTAACTCCTAGATTTCTAGAGTGCTCGATTATTATTCATTTTCTTGACCCTCTCAGCATTCAGTACAGTCGACCGCTCCCTTCTGGAAACACTTTCTTCTTTGACTCCCATGACAAGCTGTCCTGTCCCACCCACTTTACAGAACACACCTTGACAGTGCCTTGTTTGTGTATTGCCACCGTAATGCTGCGTAACAACAATCCCTAAATCGATGTTTTGAAACAATAAGCATTGATGTAGTGCTCAAGTTGCAGGTCAGCTGGGCAGTTTTCCTGGGCTGGGCTGGCCTCACTCCGGCATCTGCAACCAGCTGCAGGTCAGGAGGGTGGCTGTGTTGCTCTTGGCTGGGAATAGTTGGCTGATCTAGGATGGCTTCGGCTGGGGCGACCAGGGTGACTCTGCACTGTTCCAAAAGCCTCACCCTCCAGCGAGCTAGTCCAGGCGTGCTCTCATGGTGATCACAAATGAGCAGGGGAACAAATGGAAAAACATGCAAGGCTTCTGAGGCCATGGCTCAGAACTGGCATGACACCCCTTCCACCACTTTCTGTTGGCCAAAGAAGATTCCAGAGGCAGGGAAATAGATTCTGCCTCATTGGCACAAGGAAACCTGCAAAGTCACATGGAAGAAAGCCTGGCTACAGGAGACAGGGAGACTTGGGGACATTAATGCAGGCAACCACAGGCTTTCCTATGCTATATCTTTGCTGTCCACAGCAGCCACTAGCCACAAGTGGCTATTTAACTCTAAATTAACTAAAACAAAATAAAATTTAAAATCCAGTTCTGCCACAGTGGCCACATTGCAAGTATCCAGTAGTCACGCGTGGCTGTGGCTACTCTGTTGGACAGCACAACAGTTCCCTCGTCACAGAACATTCTGCGGTGCAGCCCTGCTTAGATTTTGTGCAATGGTAACACAGCATCGCAGTCCAGGGCTTTCTGCTCCCCAAGTCCAGATTCGAAGCAGGTTTGCATGAGCCACAAACGCCGAGCAAACAATCTGAAGATAGTGCAGGCATTTTTCCCAGAGTCCCCGGAGGCATCCCGGTAACAAGGCAGTGATTTCAGGAGATGTGTAAACACAGGAATGCGGCTTCCCTAACCATTGTAATTGGACATAAAGACTTAAAAGTCCACATCGAGACCAGAGGGGAGGCTGCGTTTAGCTGAGCAGGGACAGTGGTCTGTGGAGTGCTATTACTAGGGACCCACAAGCACCCTCTTTGCGCTGTGCTACGTGTACATTGCAGAAGCGGCAGCTCTTTACTTTACAAGGAGGAAGGACATCGAGCCAGGCCCCTTCGAAGTCCTCCTTTGCTCTCTGTTCCCCGATGTTCTCTGGGCATCTCTGCTTAGCTTCCCTGCCCCTCTCAGCCAGCAAACCCCTGTGCACCAAGGGCATACATTCTAAACAACAAGCTACCTGCGCATGCGCACATGTATTCATGTCAGATTGGCGATCAGTTTTAAAGATGATACCTCCTGTTGGTGAAAAGGACCGTGAGAGCGTGAATCAGTACTTCTGATGAAGTTAGGCGGCAGCCATAAAGAGAGCCCATTGAAGATTCCAACAGAAAGAGAGAGAGGAATGAAAAAGAATTATCTTTAATTTTTGCTCAAGGATGTTAATGCAGCATTGTTTAGAACAGCAAAAAAATTAGAGTCCTCACTCTGCGAAATATGGCACTACATACAGTGAAACACTGTGCTTCCACACACACGAAATCACGTCCTCAGAGACTTTTCCAAGACTTGTGATAACGCTCAGGAAATACCATGGAGCTATAATGGAATATAGCCAGTCTACATGTTTTGATCCCAACTGTGCAATATTTATGCAAATATATGCATAGAAAATAAGGCTGAAGGGAAATCCATCAATATGACAGTGTTCACACTCCATTGTCACTCCCCGGGACCAAGCACCAGAGGACTCAATCAATATCTGTGAATTGACATTATTTATGGGAAGAGGCATAAAAAGCAGTCATTTTATTTTCTTTGTTGTATGGTCAGCATGTTTTTCATTTATAATCAGCAAAAAAAAAATCATTCATAGTCACTGAGATCATAGATACATAGGGAGCAGCTTTCAGACGGATGTAAAGGAATATGATAGGAATTGTATGAAATGGGGACTGTTCTAGGAGCAGGACTAGCTCGGTGGATGGGGAGCCCTGTCGTGATGCTGAGCACCTGCAGCCCTAACCCATGAGCTCCTGTGTTTTCAGGTACTACCCAATGGGCCACCCAGCATCTGTGCACCTCTACTTCCTTGCCGACCGCTTCCAGGGCTTTCTGATCAAGCACCATGCTACCAATCTGGCTGTGAGCAAGCTAGAGACCCTGGAGACATGGGTGATGCCGAAAAAAGTCTTCAAGATTGCAAGCCCACCCAGCGACTTTGGGAGGCTTCAATTTTCTGAGGTAAGAGGCCAGATGTTGTCACGGTTCATCATCTTTTGAAGTCCCCTTGCTGGGTTCTGCTCCACAATCTGACACTTGTAGTTGGAGATGGAGGAGAAGAGGGCTTGGAGAGCCCTAAAGATGTGTTCTGCAGCCCCAAACACACACCAGCATCTTAAACAGGGAAGGAGTAGAGGTACAGTGGAGTTGTCAAAGGACCAAACCAACCTAGAACCTTGACCTATTTTTTGGAGTAGAATTTCTGCTTCTCTTAATTTTTCGTCCTAGTCAGTGACCCCTCCTAAACTTATGTTAATAATATACCAGTAACAAACCAGTTTCCTAATGAAGTAGTGGCATTAGTCCCGTTTTACAGATGGGAGAACTGAGGCTTATAGAAATCCATTGATTTTCTGGATCATAGCTAGGAACTGGAAGAGCTCAAAATTGAACCCAGGTTTCTCTGGCCACAAATCTCATGTGTAATTGTGTTTTGTCTCCCAGTTTATAACACGGGAATTACCTTAAAGTAAGCACCAGATCAATCAATCATTGAATATATGAATGGATAAGTGGATGGATGGATGGACAGATGGATGGATGGATGGATGGAAGGATGAATGGACTGATGGATGGATGGGTGGATGGATGAGTGGATGGATGAAGGATAGATGGGTGGATGAGTGGATGAAGGATAGATGGATGAATGAGTAGATGGATGGATGGAAGGATGGATGGACTGATGGATGGATCGGTGGATAGATGAGTGGATGGATGGATAGAAGGATGGATGGATGAGTGGATGGATGGATGGATGGATGGAAGGATGGATGGTTGGAAGGACAGATGGCTCAATGGATGGAGATATGGACTGATGCATGGATGCATGGATCCATAGAAGGTGGTTTCTCCCTCCTCAATACAGCATTAGCTTTTAGTTATTTTTCTGACTAGGGAGATGGATTTACCCAGCACCACTTTGTAGCATCAGCCCTGCCTCCAGATCCCTAAGGCCCTACATGATCTGGCCTCCGTCTGCTTCTCCAGCCTAATCCGGTACCGCTCTCCACCACACTCACACTTCTTGCATCTTTGTCAAACATGCCACACCTCTTCCTGCGTCAAGCTTGGCACGTGCTGACCCCCCTGCCTAGAATGCTTTCCCCAGGTTGTCACATAGCTGGCTTGTTTTTTGTGATTCTGATCTAAATCCAAGTGGTGCCCCTTCAGGGAAGCCTTTTCTGGCTGCCCAATTGTGCCACAATAGCTACATTCTCCACCTAACCCTTCCCTATTTTGTTACCTTCTCTTAGCATTTACTGTCTAAAACTATCTTGTTGATTTATCCAATCACTACTAAATTGTCCACAGGAGAGCTGGAACTGTATCTCCTCACCCACTGCTATATCCCCAGCACGTAGAAGAGCACGTAGTGTTTGTAGATGGTGAATGAGATTTCAGAATGAATGAATGAATGCGCTTGGGTGGTGATGCTGCTAGGAAGGGGAAGCATGATCAGTCTTGGCCAGTGTGGCCCACACAAAACTCCAGCACCTGATTTCTGCCTTCCCCACATCAGTACGTAGCTAAGGGGGTGATTCATCTCAATGAGTCTGGTTGCTGGATTCAGGGTGAAGGATCCAACTTTAGAATATGGAGGATCTGGAGGGGCCGGGAGTATGGAGGGTCCTTGCTGGTCCTTATCCAGCCACCTGTGGCCTGCCTAGCTGATCCGTGCCCCAGGAATGGGTCCCCATGTCAAAGAGACACCAGCGAGAGTTAAGCTCTCATTTTCAATTAAGGCTCCTAGTGGATTTGCTGGATGTGAGCTGCCCAGGGAGCCCAGTCCATAAATTACTGGCACCAGGGGACAATTAGACACTGCCCCAGTTGGAGTCTGTGCTGGGGGCCCGAGCATTCAATTGACGACATTAATGTTCCATTAAAGAGATGAATGCCTGGTGTCTGGGCTCTCCCTGTTTCTCAGCCTGCTGTTGGGCGACTGGGCTCCTCTGGCAGTGACAAATGACGTTGGCCACTCCGTGGCTAGTGATTTGTGAAGGTTCCCACCGTAGGTCTGGTACCCTGGATGTGAGAACCACCAAGATGGCTGGTGGAAATAATGGCACCTAATGCTGAGAGCCCTAATTTTGTATTTTGAATTTTTTCTCGTCTTAATTATTTTTAATGGCACAGCTGTAAAATTGAGCAAAAAGGAAGGGAAGAGCTACAGGGCCACTTTGTGGGCTGTTGAGAACCTCCCTGGTGTCAGTACCACCCTCAGGGCCTTGCGTGGCGCCCGGCGCACAGCAGGTAGCCAGTCCTGCTGAGCAGCTCAGATAGATTCCTCCAGTCCACGGGGGAATTGGCTTGGAGAAAGGATGCCCATTTTTTCCGCAGGCGGTCACCAAGTGCCTACAATGTGCTAGGTGCAGGAGGGACAGCAGTGAACCAGACAGACCGGGCCCCTGTTGTCATGGAATTGTAGTCTAGTGGGGCAGCCAGCCAGTGAGTGAGCAAATAAATGAACAAAAACGGTTGAGCTAATAACACATATTATAGAGAAAATAGAACTTCATCCCTGTGATTGCTCACTCAGGATGTAGATGGGGGCTGCCTTTGATAGGATGATTCATTCAGGAAGGCTTTCCTAAGGAGATAACTTTAGAGCTGAAACCTGTACAAGAGCTAGCCATGGGGAGTTCTGGAACATTCCAAACAGAAGACTATGCGTCCAGAGCACATGAATGAGAGGGAGAATGGTAGGAGAGAGGTCTTAGAAGGGGCAGGGGGCTTGCCCGCCCTGGAAAGATGTTCAGATCGCATTTAAGTGCAGTGGGAAGCCTTCGGTGGGTTGGAAGCTGGGGAGCAGCATGTTAAGCTTGAACTTCAACATGTATTTAAACCTGGATAATTGATCATTTTGCAGTGGATGATTGTGGACTTCCACAATGAGGCCCTGTGAGAAGAGCTGGGAGGTCACAGCGGATGTGACAGCACCAGGCTCTGTCCCCGACTGCCCGCCTCCTTCATGCTTGGGGGTGGACTGTGTCCTCACGGTCTTCCGTTTAGAAACAAGATCCAGGTTCTTTTTATCAGCTGCTCCGCAGCTTTCCTGTCCAGGTTATCCTGGTTTTAGAACTCAGATTTCAGGGAACTGTTTATCCCCATTGCTATGGAGGATGCAAGGACAATGTTATGGAAGGTCCCCGCATGCCCTAGGTATGATCCTGAAGTAGTTTTGTGACCGTTCATCCATTTTGTTAGTATCTGTTGGAAACTGGTGTGAGGAGGGTCTGGAGCAGGACATTTTACAAGATCTTCCTGACTACTGGGTGGAGAATAAATCGCAGGCAGCAAAAGTGGAAGGAAGAAAGCCAAGAGCAGATTCCCGCAGGTCACAGCCGTGCACACACCCAGCTGGCGGTGGGAAGGATGGATCACACAGCATCTCCCATCCCTAGGGGTCCAGCTCAGAATGATTCTAGGAAACCAAAGCTGTCTCCTCCTAGGAAAGCCATCTGAACTCCTGCAAATGATAGGCCGTGCCAAAGGTCTCTCCTTTTTCCTAGCAGATGACAGGGCAGCTCCAAAACCCAAACTCTGTTCCTGTTCAGAACATGTGCACTAAACAGAGGTGTGTGATTTGGAAAACCAAGGACCAAAATGGAAACCAGCTGTATCTATTGAGTGGCAGGGTGGGTATTCCCTTGGAATAGGTGCAAGCAGGCACTCATTCATCCATTCTGCGCGTTTGTCTTGTCAAAGCACACACCGTGTCCAGGCACAGGAGGCCCAGTGGCTTAGTGAAAGGACACGGGCCTTGTGATCCCCAAGACGAGGTCCAAATCCCAGACCACCTGCTTACTAGCTGTGTGACCTCCAACAGGAGACTTAATCGGAGCTTCAGTTTCCTCATCTGTAAAATGGGCATATGAAGCCTAACCAGCAGGCTCCTGGGCCTTTCTGAGACCGAGCACCCTAGCTCAGGCCCGGTGGTTTCAGACTCACTCTCCTGTTTCAGGTCGGCACTGACTGGGATGCCAAAGAGCGGCTGTTTCGCAACTTTGGGGGTCTCCTGGGGCCCATGGACGAGCCGGTGGGTATGCAGAAATGGGGGAAGGGGCCCAACGTGACCGTGACCGTCATTTGGGTGGACCCCGTCAACGTCATCGCAGCCACCTACGACATCCTGATTGAGTCCACTGCCGAATTCACCCACTACAAGCCCCCTTTGAACTTGCCCCTGAGGCCTGGGGTCTGGACAGTGAAAATTCTCCACCACTGGGTGCCAGTTGCAGAGACCAAATTCCTTGTCGCACCTCTGACCTTCTCCAACAGGCAGCCCATCAAGCCAGGTGAGTACTCCCAATGTCTCTGCGGGGGAGACATTCCATCCCCAGGGCCTGCAAGGGGTGTTGGCCTGGGCAGATGCTGCTGCTCAGATGTGGGGCGTGTGGCTGCCTTACAGGACAGCGTTCTTTGCTCTCGGTATTTTTTTTTCCTGCTCATTTGCCCTAGAGAACCATCTAATTTCCTACCTGCACACTGAGGTGATGTCATCTGTCTATGTATTAGATACTTATGTATTGACTCCCATTGGACTTGCAGAAGGCCGCAATCATATGTAGGACAAGATGGGAAATAAACCCAGGCAGATAGTGCATTTCAGCAAATCTTGTTTACTATTTAAAAAATAACTAAAATAGGAAATTCCATTCATCAAAATTATGATGCCCTAGGTAGAAAGATGGACCACATACCAGTGGGAGATATTCGCTACATATTTAAAAAAAATAATACTCATATTCAGAACATATAAAGAAATCCCATGAATCAGAGGTTGGCAAGCGACGGGCCGCAGGGCAAATCCGCACACTGTCTGTTTTTGTAAGTACAGTTTTATTGGAGCACAGTCACACTCATCACACGTTGCCTGTTTCTGCTTTGGGAATAAAATGGCAGAGTTGAACGGTTGTGACAGTGATAGCACGGCCCACAAAGCCAAAAATATTTACTGTCTAGTCCTTTACAAAAAAGATTACCGATCCCTGCTATAAAAGAGAGGAAGCCAAAAAAGAGAGAGAACATGAATGGCCCACACACATATGAAAAGATGCTCAGTCCCATTAATAATGACAGAAATGCAAACTCAAAGTGCAAAGACATTGTACTCCACACCCACCATATTGGCCAATGCGTAACGGTTGGATAATGTCATATATTGGTAAGGTTGGAAAATAATGGACAGTCATCTAATGCCGGCGGAAGGGTGAATTGACAAGATGCGTTTGGAAAATGGTTTAGCATCTCTGTAAAGCTGAACTTCCACGCACCCTACTGCACAGAAATTCCACCCCTAGGTAGAGGCCCTAGAGACATGTGCAGAAATATTCATACAAGAATTCTTCACAATAGCACAAAAGCAAAAGCAGTCCGACATCGGAAAGGACAATTTGCGGTCTGTTCACACAGTGGAGCGCTACACAGCAGTGAACGTCAGTAAAGCGCAGACACACGTGTTGGCTCGGGTGAGTCAAACGTAATGTTGCGGGGAAAATATTACAGAATAAATCATAATTATGATGCGTTTATTTAAAGCTCAAGAACATGCAAAGCCAACTATATATTATTTCGGGATTCATGTGTCCATAGAAAGCTCTGAGGAAATGAAGGGAATTATTAACATGAAATTCAAGACAGTGGTTTCCACTGCGTATGGAGAGCAGGGAGATGTCTGGCTCCTAACATACCTGACTTTTTTGTTTTTCCACATTCGTAGAGTTGACTTTTATGCTTCTTTTTCCCCCTTTCCCCTTTCTTTTACCAAGGGGAATGTCTTTCTCCATCCTCGAGTCCTACCTCCGTGCGTAACCGCTGCGAGCAGTTTGGCATGCGTGCTTCCAGGGGGTTTTCAGGTTGAGTAGTTGTGGCAGAGACTAAATGGCCCACAAAGCCAAAAATAGGTACTATCTATTAGCACATCTTAGCATAACGCATATCATAGAACAGAAAAACTTTGCTGAGTTTTAAAAAATGGAATGATACATTTTGCAGTGAAACTTGCTTTTTTCACCTTCTGAGTCAGTATATGCAAAGCTACCAGCTGCAACCAACATAGTCCACTGGCTTAAGGAACCACAGTCTATCTGCTCCCCTTTGGTGTATCCGCTGTTGATGGTGATGATGATGCTGTTACAGACAATGCTGCAAAAAGATTTTTTTTTAATTATTTAAGACCTTTATTAACAGGTGCTTGCAGTTTGTTGACTTTTTTGAAAAAATCAAGTTGTAAACTTTTATTACAAATTAAAAGTGAAGTTCTTAAAAAATCTCAACTTGACCAGATATGAAACAATTTAAAAGCCTTTAAAGGCGTATTGAGAAAAACCAGGCGTTTTTAGAAAACATGTTTGTTATTACCAAAAAAGACATCTTTAGGTAAAAATAATAAAAACCCCGTGCTGCATAGATAATGCAGATAGTTCTAGTTATCTGGTCAACAGGCAAAAAGCAAGCACTTACGGTCTTTGGCTCCAATCTTTCATTCATTTCTTATTGCTGGAATTCATATTCGTTTCTTCTTGTCGGATGACCAAACCGGACGATGGTAGAGATGGGAGGGCCGGCATTTGCTCAGCCTCGCCCTGCCCGGCCCCGGGAGTGACGAATTCTCAGCTGGTGCTTCGGCTGCTTTTGTCTCTTTGCCATCTTGTGGTTTAGCGTTTTCTGGGCGTCTGCATCAGTAATCAAAGTTGCGGCGGTACTGACTGTGGGTCTCATCTCCTTAATTCTCTTTATCCTCTTCATTGCCGTCCTCTCTGGGCCATCTTTGGCGAGCAGGGCCCCTGCGGAATCGTGGTCCATAACCCCGATACATATTCTGTCTTACTGGTGGTCTACCTTGTTCTCCTGCACCCTGGCTGTCAGCACCCTGCATCACTCCTCCCTGCACAAGAGGGTTGGAACACTGTGATCACGCCCACAGGGTCTCCGCGTGTAGTAAGGTGGGAGCCTTCGCCCGCAGTAGGGCCGGCGTTGCTGGCCTGGCCTTCAGGAGCACGCTCCGGTCCCTCATTCTCTTCCCCACGCTCACTGTTCTGATGATTCTGCTGGTGATCACGTGGAGGACCCTGCGACACGGATGGCGTCTATAATGCTTGCGGTCTGCTGCGTATTGACTGCCTTGAACTGGATTCCACCAGGGCCTGTGACATTGCTGCCTCTGCACCCTTTTCTCCTTCAGCAACATCAAACTCCACAGTGTCTCCATCTCCTGCCCTGCGAAGTACCTTCCTGGGGTTGTTCTTTATGGCAGTCTGGTGTACGAACACATCTTCCTTGGTGTCATTCCTGTTGATGAAACCATATCCGTTTCTTACATTGAACCATTTTACTGTCCCCAAAACCTTCGTTGCGATGACCTTCATGCCCCTCGCCCCCCTCCCAGGCAGGCGCCACCGATGTGAGGCTGCCTGGGCCACCGCTCCCTGCGCCGCTGCCCGTGGTGCGGGGCTTGGAGTCCACAGCGCTGAGGGCGGGGGCGGCTGCTGCAGCCGTGGCTCCTCCCGACGTGTGATGGTAACTAGGCGCGCGACGGTGGGGCTTCCAGGGCTCTCCGGGGTCCGCTCTCCGCTCCCGCTACCGATCGAACTCCAAAAAGATTCTTAAACATAAAATTATACATATTCCTGCAGGTACATCCATCAGACTCCTAGAAATGGGGTTTCAGGGTCTCTCAGTATTTGGAATTGTTTGACTCCATCTAACAGATCACAAACCCGAAATCCAGAAACACATTCCAGCCCTTGTTAGCTGAAAAGAGGAGTTCTTGCTTGGGTTCCATTTAGCCAATGCTACAAGGGGAGGGAGACACAGACGTGGGGAAGGATCCCTGAAGTCCTAGGAAAGGGGTCTTGAAGTGGACTCAGCTTCTGCTCTTTCTCTGTGTTGAGCAAGCAGGAAGATGGGAACCTGGTGTTTTCCTGAGATGGCAGCCTGCTGCTCCACGCCCCTGTGAGCCGGGCAAAAGACAGCCCCTCCAGGGCTAGCCGGGCCAGAGCCCACCCACTAGGGCCCCTAAGGCCCCCTTGATTAGGTGCACATCTTGGTGTCACTAAGGATTTCCAAAGCCAGACAGGGAGTAGAGGGATGTAAATGGCTGATGTTGGTCGCTTCAGGTGCACCTGCAGGACAGAACAAAGGAACAGTCCTGAGTCCAACCCCGCCCCGGCAAAATAGCCCAGGGCCATGCGTTGAGTCCTGATTTTTCCAATGTTCTCTTCTAGAGTTTCTGAGGAACGCACGATTCTTTCCACCCATGCCCAGGGTGACCCCAGGGTCATTTTACCCCACGGGGAGTGGCCCTCCTGTCGTCAGTAATTGTATTTGTTAATGATGTTCCAATGACAGGGAACACAGAGGTGGGAGCAATGCAATTTGTAAAATGATTCATCAAGAGTAATTTGCTATTGATGTGTCCCTGGAAATCTGATGAGGTGGAATTGAGGAAAATTTAATTATAGAGATGAGCGTCGTGAGCTGATATTGTAATAGCATCTCCCACATTAACTTCATTTCTCATAAGGGTTTTTTGCATCAACCACAATATTTGGTTCCCACTGTTTGAATGTTTGTTAGCTGCTCCTTTCACTTTGAATGTCCTGCCTTTTGTCTGGGTATCCCTTCAGCCCCCCAGCTTCTCACTTTGCAGAATGGAGGCATTGGGACCTGCAGCAAAGACAGCAGGCTCTGGTCTTTTGGCAGATGGGGCTGGAGCTGCCCACCCTGACTGCCGGCACTAGAGAGGGGTGGGCTAGCACCAATTTCTAAGTGTGGTGTCTTGTAACTATCATGAAAGAGAGCAGCTTTGTTAAATCCCAGCAAGACAGAATCTATGTTCAATGCATATGTTCTTTCTCCCACTTGTCACTTTCCAAACCATAAAGCCCCTCCACTTCCTGGGACATTGGTCATTGAAGGAATGATGTTCTTGTGTGTTAGTCAAGGCACATTTTGAATTCAGCTAGTATTCTCATTGCTTTTAGAGGGACAGGTATACGATTTTTCTTGCTCCTCCTTCCCCACTCAGGACCACACATACTAGAAGAAATTAACCTGGTAATTATCCCAGTTCTCCTGGTTGCCATTGATGGTGGCAGCTGCTGTCAGGAAGCTTTGTCTTCTGAACACTGCATTACCTTGCGGGGAGGGTTCTTCTAATCCCAGCCATCTTGGCCATAGCAAACCCAACTTGGTAAAACACAATGCACCAGGCTCACTGTCCAGTCTTCTTAAAAAATATATGCTTGTATTTAGCAATAAAATAAGCAATGAATGGGGACTCCTTAAAAAATAGAAGGGTCTAGCTTCTTTCCTTCACTTCAAACTCCTATACTTTCTGCTTCCACATTTTGAAGCCCTGGGAAGTCCTAAGAGTCCCTCTTGTGTGCCTGTTACTTTACAGTTTTCTAGGACGTGGGCTTCCGTTTGAGCCTCTTGCCAGCCCTGTGGGACCAACTGGTGCCAGAAGGGGTACCCCCATCTTACAGATGGGGAAACGAAATCTTTAAAAGACTGGCTCCCAGATGGAGAAACAGGAACAGTGCTTTAACTTCCCACTGGTGGACGCATCTCCAGGAGAGCACTGGCTCCAACCCCAGATCTGTCTTTAACTATAGCTGTTTCCTCATCTGTAAAATGGGTATGATAAAACCAGCCCTATAGTTGTGTATGTGTATGAAGATTATAGACTAATACCAGCAGTAATAATTCCAGCTAAACATTTTCAAGCACTTAATATATCCGAGGTGCCGTTTTTAAGCACTTTATATGAATCAACATATTTCATCCTCACAAACAAAGCTATGAGCATGGTATTAGTACTTTATTCATCTTACTGGTGAGGAAACTAAGGCATAGGGTGTTGAAGTCAGAGGTCACACACCCGGCATGTGGGACGTGGGGATTCAAACCCAGACAGCATGACTGCAGTGCCTGGGCTCTTGCATGAAGCGTGTCTCAGAAGCTGGCACGTCATGGGTGCTCAGCAAGGCAGAAGTGTTACGAAAGCTGGTTTGACCGCCCACCCCACCCTGGTCCAAGCTTTGTGCTTTACGGGACGATTTTCCTGTGGTCAATTCATGCATCATGTGTTGAACTAGGCTGCCAGGAAGCAGAAATCCATGACTTACCGTGGTGGACGCTCAGCAGCTGAGAGCTGACTCCTCGCCAGGCTTTCAGGTCAGCAGACCTGGGTTCAAACCCTGGCTCTGACACTCATTACCTGTGTGATTTGGGGAAGGTGCTTAATTAGGCTTTGCACTTGCTAGTCCCTCTGCCTGGAATTCTCTTTCCCCAGATATGTTTGCTAATTAGCACTCAGATGTCACCTCCCCAGAGAGGTCTCCCCTGCCCACCCCAGGTAACATAAACCGTGTCACTCTCTAACCCAGGAGTTGGAAAACTTTTTCTGAAAAGGGATAGAAAGTAAATATTCTTAGCTTTTCAGGCAAAATACATCCTCTATCTCAAATACTTAACCTATGCTATGGTGGCACAAAAGCAGCCATAGACAATATGCAAACAAATGAGCATAACTATGTTCCAATAAAACTTTTTATTTATAAAAATAGGTGGTGGGTTAGATTTGTTCCAAAGGCTGTAGTTTGCAAACCTCTGCTCTAACGTAATACCTTGTTTATTTCCTTCATGACACTTATCCTGCCTGAAGTGACCTTATTTAGCTACTCGTGTATTTCTTTGTTGTTGTCAATCTCTCTCCACTGGCTTGTAAGCTCTTTCCCTATCTGGTTCACTCCACCACCTAGAATAGAGCCTGGTACCTAATAGGCACTTTATATATTTATGGAATAAATGCCTTGCAGATCATAGATGTTTAGTAAATATGTGTTGAATGAATGGCTTGCACAAAGTAGGTACTTAAAAAATACATATTGAATGAATGAATGATTGTCTGGACTACTGAAGACGCTCCATAAATACGTGTCGAATGAATAGAGGAACGCATCATGCTCTGAACAAAACGGGCTCTGTCCTTGCAGGCTCACTTTCCTCATCTGTAAAATGGGACTGCTAAAAGAACTTCCTCATGACATTGTCACGTGAATTAAAGGAGGTGATGCCCAGTGCCTGGTGCGGCACTGAGCATACGGTAAGTAGGTGTCCAGGTGGTGGCTCTTCTAATCCCGAAATTGTTCCCTTTGGCTTCCAGAAGAGGCACTGAAGCTGCACAACGGGCCCCCCCGCAGCGCGTACCTGGAGCAGAGCTTCCAGAGCCTCAACCCCGTCCTCAGCCTGCCGATCAGCCCCGCCCAGGTGGAGCAGGCTCGGAGAAACGCGGCCTCCACGGGCGCAGCGCTGGAGGGCTGGCTGGACTCGCTGGTGGGCGGAATGTGGACCGCCATGGACATCTGTGCCACGGGCCCCACCGCCTGCCCAGTCATGCAGACCTGCAGCCAGACGGCCTGGAGCTCCTTCAGCCCTGACCCCAAGTCAGAGCTGGGGGCTGTCAAACCCGATGGCCGGCTCAGGTAGCACTGGGCACGAGTGGCTCACAGCGGGGATCTCAACAGGAGAGTAGCCAGAGGGGCTGTGGGGCCTGGACCCTAGCCTCCCACCCCAGGGGGGTGCCTCTTGTGCAAGGGGGGGGGCTCATGGCCATAGGATGGTGGGGAAAGTAGGTGAGAAGGCCAAAGCAGGGGGTCCAACAACCTGCATTTGGCAAGCTGGGGGTGGGATGGCTCAGTCCCAGCGCCATGGTGGTCTCACCTCTTCTGGTTGATCCTCAAGTCCTACAGGTTCCTCGTCATCCCCTCCAATGACACGACCTCCCCAGACCAGTAATTTTCAAGCTTTTATTTTGAGCAGCAGAACGTTGTTGACTGGAGCGTAGTAGTAGGCAGAAGTTCAAGGTGCGGATGAAATCCAGGCTGCTCTGGTTGAAGCTGAGGAACGTGAAGTGTGAGGTTCCCTCTCGAAGCCCAGCCCACCGGGCGGTCCCTTTGCCGCAGGCATCTCCTAAGGCACCTCTTCAGAACCCAAGGGCTCTGCAAAACCCAGTTAGACCAGCACTGCCCAGACTGACCGTGGGTTTGCTCTCCAGCTCCAGCCTTCAGCTCGTCTTTCTGCTCCTCTTGGCTGGGAGACCCTGCGCCAGCCCTGAAATGACAGGCCCCTGAATATCACGATCACGGCCCTTTCAAAGGAGGTAGCAGGCTTGGGAGGGCCCTGAGCCTCCTAGCAACTCTCCTTAGGTAGAGCTATCCTCCTTAGTAAATAGATGAGCAAAAAAGCCTTTTGATGGTGTGCGGCCAAGGTCCACCCAGAAGTGTGACTGCCAACTGTCCCGGGTCCCAGACCTCCCCTGGCAAGGCTGCCACACAAAGTAGCAGAAACAAGACGATGCTATGAGCATGAGCCTCCAGCCTCCTGGCCGTCCATGGGCTGGAGGCCAAGGGCATGACCTTTCTAGTCTTTGAAAATGAGATCTTGGGGGACCATGGCCACGAAACTCAAAAGACATCACTCGTAGCCAGACTCCCGAGCTAGACAGCACAGCAATACCCGTCACCTGCCAGAGCCCTTCCGTTCTGAGGTCAGGCCCACAAAACCCTCCTGAGTTGCACGCTCAATGCTGTTGGGAGTGACCAAACTGCGGGAACCAGACTTCTCACATCCAGGAGAAAGCATTTCCGATTTGGTTTTTAATTCCATGCCCTTCCTTTATCCATGGTGCCAATAGGCCCATACGGACATGCAACATAAAAGTGGGAAGGTTGTTTAAAAATAGTGTTATTCAAATGCTTGAGTTATTGAAACCTGAAGGGTTTCCTTGCCATGGGCCCCCCCCCGGAGGCCTTCCTTCCTCCCGTGAACGACGGGGTTCCCTTGGAAGAGTCACACCCTGGTGGAGAGCCCGTCCTGCTACTTCTCTCCAGGGTGGGCTCAAAGGTACCTGTCAGTGTGTCGCCCCATCCTCTGCCCAGCAAGGCAGGATGTCCCGTTGGCAATTGAGGACATAGAGAAGGGACATTTTAGATATTTATTATTTATATGTTTTAGTCAATGACTAATTAGTAGGTGCTGTTTTTGCAGCTTGTCAATTATGTTATCTTACTAACTGGAGCTGCCTTTATTCACAAAAGGCCCCCAGCCCTTGCCACCCACTCCTCTCCCACCCTCTGGTGTCTCTCTCTGTCTGCCCTCCATCCTCCTTGTCCTCAGAGTACAGCAGGGAACACCCTGGGAGGAAAGCTCTGACCTGCGTCATCTGTTGCTTGGAGGAGTGGGTGCCTGGGGACCTCGAGAACCTCGCTGTGCCTCGCAGAGGGTATGGCCTCATCTGTCCCTTCACTTCCAAGAGCATTGGAATTCCTGAGCCACCCTTGCCCTGGCCCCCCGCCCAGGGAGGTGACAGACTTGGTGGGGGGTGGGGGGGGGGCGTGTGCTGACCGCAGAGAGCGGGGGTCCTCCCTGCTTGCTGTTGGTGACTTCCCGTGACCAATCTAACCATGGGCCTTGACGTGGCCATGACAGAGGGAAACAGGCCCCTTCCTTAATAAGAAGAGGCTGGTCAGACCCACCCAGAGAGCCCAGGAGCTAGCCATTGTCAACATTGGTCCTAGGAGCCTTCCCTTTCACTCTCCTTACCGGTTACTAGGGCTCTGTGTTTTCCGCAGTGTTATCTGCGGTGGCTTTGGGAACCCAGCAGTGGTAGGTCCCTGTGTAGAGTGTGAGCCTGCAGCCTTCAAGACAGGGCCCCTCCCACAGCCCCTGACATTTCTGCCTTTTTGCATCCCAGAACCAGTGGAGAAAGGCAGAGCTGACTTGCTCTGGGGACACTCTCTTTCCCCTGAGGTTTCACTCCCCTCTTGCAACTAATTTGGGGTGTTTCTCTGTCTCCTCTGTTTTCAGTCCAGATAACAATTTTGTAGATGTTACATTTTGTTAAAAAAAAAAAAAAAGGATTCCAAAGTACAGCATGATTTAAGAAAAAGGGATGTTTTCCCAGGGAAAATAGCATAACTCCTTTTTTTTTTTTTTTTTTTTTTATGCCTGAGAATGATTTATTTATTGGAGGCCATTGGTCAGGCAGCCTGCAGCTAGGGCTGCTTGAGGATTTCAAAAGCACAGAGCTGCAGTTTCTGGAAACCCTATTACAGCCTGCAGGGTACAGTGACTGTGGGCTGAGCCACGGGCTAGAGTCCTGGAAATTTAGAGGTAGGACTTGCGTGGTGGTTTGTGGGGCAAAGGAAATAGTCCATACGTAGACTGCTGCACTGTACGACTTCCTACCCACCCAGTGACAGTCAGGCAGAAATTGAGCTCAGGAGACAGCAAGCCATCCCAGATCCCTCCCCGGTCATGCATAAAGCAGTATGTCTCCAAGGAGGAAGTGAACAACTCCCAAGGTCCTCATGTTTTAAGAAGTGCACTAGTTCCTCCCTTTGGAAAAAAGGCTTTTCTGCTGGGATCATAAGTTCTGGCTTTATTTCTCATTGCTGGTTTAACTTTTAAAATGCAAATGGAGGTTTGAGAGGATAAGCTAGACCATACAACCTCCCCCACCCCAAAGAGGCAAATTGCAGCTACTCTGGGCACATGCCTGGGTAGGTGGGTACCATGCTTCCTTCTGGTTCTCTGGTTTGCAAATACTGAGAGGACAGTGGCTGGACCCTTGGACTCTGCCAAGAAGGTGCAGAGTAGAGGAAAGCAGTAGCCACTGGGTGTGTGGCATGGACAAAGACCCCTTTCACAACCAAGTTCACCGAGGATTAGGGACACCACCTCCCTGGCAGCATCCCAGGGGGCACACTAGAAACAGCTGTCAACACACTCAAATGTAAAGACAGCAAGGTAGGTCTGCCAGATCAAACCACACTCTATGGCGGGGGCACAAATGCTTACAGGGTCCAGGACGCTGACACAGATGAGTGAAACGGCTAGTGTAAGACAGAGGGGAGTGGTGGGGACCACGTATTTACTGGCATGCAGGGGACCCATCCAGAAGGAACAGCTGCCACTCGGCTCCAGCCTGTCATTGCATGTAAGAATGCAAGCACAGTGTAGTAGTGGGATCTTCCAATTTGGTAAGGGAAGCCAGAAATCCAGATTTTTATTGAAAATCTGATTTTTCAATGTCAGTTATTTTTTTTTTTTTTTTAACACACTGTGGTCAAAGAAAAATTCCACAGTTCCACTTTTGCACTGCCGGCAACGTCTGCTCTCTGGAGAGGTGGTTTAAAATGAGGTTAGGCATTGACCTGGTAGAGGAGGGAAAAAACCAACATCAGGTCAGGGCAAAAATAATAGCTCATGTTGAACTCTGAAGGGAAGGGGGCCTCTTGCTAGTTATTCCTCTCCCAAAGAGGCCATCCCAGTTTCTTCCAGAGGAAGACTGGCTTGTTCAGCTCTCCCAATCCCAAGACAGCTTGTGCTGAAGGGAAGGAGGAACAGAATTTGGAGATCTGGACTCTTACCCCTTAGACATGCCGAGATCCACATCTGCCTGGGACCACACCTTCTGGAGCGCCATCAAGTCAGGCAGAAATGGCAAACACAGGATCTAGGAGGAAGGAGTGGTGTGTGAAACAGCTGGGCTCTCTCCAAATCCCGAGTTTTGGCTGCCTTCTTGCCACGTATCTGGAAGCCTCTTCTGAAACCATGCAGAGCTGTGCTGGCTCACTGGATGGCCTCTTAGCTTCTGCCTCAGTTACCTTACTTTGCCCATGGGTCTACCACAGGCACTACCTCATTGTGTCTGCTGAGAAGTTTACCTGGGGGGGGATGAAGGTGTCCAAATCTGCTTGAGTTGAATGTACGATCTATGCAAATTCTCTCTCTGTCTCTCTCCCCACCTCTCTGGCTCTCTAATTTAGAAATATTATTTTTCTTACCTTGCAAACAAGATACTGTATAGGACCCTCTTAAGACTGAGGAGGGCTTTCATGCGCCACCTGTGTCTGTCCCTCACGTTGTCTTTGGTTCTGTTCTTGCCAAGCCCCATGCAGGGAGAAAGTGGCCTCTCTTCCCTCTCCTCTTGGCTGGGAATACTCCAGCTGCCTCTGCCTACAGACACCACAGAAAACAGGTTCTGCACCTTGCCACCCCCATTCTTAACGCCACCTCTTGCATCCCTCATTTTCCTCCAACATGCTTCTCCCATCCCTCCTTCCAAAAAAAAAAAAAAAAAAAAGCCTTAGGTTTCTCCTTTTTGAAATGTGGCCTTAAAATTATTTTTGGGAAGCTGACCATCCTCTCCCTCACATTTCCTCCCACATCCAGAAGAAAGAGCATCATGAAGCTTTTCTGGCAGCCTCCTAAGCGAGAGGCTGCCAATCTACAGTTTGCAGATATGATAGAAATTGCTCACAAATGTCATCTTTAAGAAAAACGTCCTTATATTTTTCCTATGGGCAAAATAGAGGCTTGGGTGTTCATCTAAACCTGAGCCAGCTCCTGAAGCACTCTCTTAGAGCATACTGCCTCTGTAATGGGCTGGCTTAATTACCTGCAGAGTGCTCACAAAGGCTTTCCAAACCTCCCCTCACCCCAAGACTGGGTGACTTTGTGTACTTCCTCCAAGGATAAATCAGGAGGGGTTCTCAGTTTATCCTTCATCCTTCCTGCCTGGAAAGTGATAGCACTACATATTCCCAGCAGATGGGTGGTGTTCTCAAAGGAATCACCCCCTGCCTACCTTCAGACTCTATCCTTCATCCTTCCATCGCGCCAGTGCTGATGGAGGCCAAAGACAACCCCAGGGTTTTCATAGGAAATTCACTGGAATTGAGCGCAATTGTCTTTGTAGTCCTTTTGTCTTTTTTTAAAAAATATTACGATGTTGTCAATAGCGTTTGTTTGGGTATTTGTTTTAGAGGCCTCACAATAAGTTATTACCGTCCCCTTCATTGTTTTCAAAGATGTGGTGATATAGTTTTTAAAAATAACTATTTTGTTATAGATCATAATATGCATAAAACTGTACAGAAATATTTTGTAATGTATTGATTTTAAAAAAAGAGAATCTGTAAATAAAGTTTTAAAAAAGAGAATTCAAATGGCACACACTGAAAGATGTAGATATTTTGCTATTTATTTAAAGGAGTATTTTAAAAGATATCGAACTATCAAAAAATTGACCAATAATCAAAGTTTCGATCATTCGAAAGCTTTTCTTCAAAGTAGAATGTGAGTCTTGGAAACAATTGCATTACCTGCCCATTTTTGCACCTTTTCTGTCTTTTCATTTAGCAGAAAACAAGAACAACGACGACAACAAAATTGTGCCTTAGCTGTATTTTTTTGTCTAGGGGAGTTTGTTTCTGTCTGACAAAGCAAAATTTTTTGCAGAAAACAGTGGATGTATTAAATACTGTATCATACCAAAAACACTGCAGGTGTATATAGATGCTTTCTGT